TTGTTTTTTATTCGAGTATTAAGGTTTACGAATTCAATATATAGTAGCCTTCATACAAAGAGATTTGCTTTTTATTGGTGTTGTACAAGTACTTCTAAATCTCACCACATGATGAGGATTTTAAATTGTATAAATCACCAGGTTTCCCTCCAAAACAACTCCCTCTTAATAGATCTCTTACAACATTTTCCTAAATATAATAACAGAAATATGTGTAAATGTTATAATTGTGTGTATTGATTGATAAGAAGGTATAGGCTGTGGGTGGCATTGAGGGAGCATTTAAAGGTTATTACTACGTTCTGGAATGAATAAAATAATTGAACACCCTGGTGCCTGTTCTGTATTTTGGTATAACGATTAAAAATTGTTCTTACTTCACGAGTAATGACGTTTCGTAATAAAAATGAATCTATAATTCTTTCCTGAATAATTTGGGATTCGAACATGCCAAAACTTGAGGGCTCCCCAATAGTTTTGCAACATTCTTTAACCCCCACCTTACTACTTTGTTTACATTTGAGCTCTAATTGTTCTGGAATTTCATTCAATAGACACAATATCAGAACTGTCACCTGTCATCTAGGGAAGTCTGTATATGTAGAACATGTCCAATCCTGTAAATTCAGTTTTAAGTTGTATAAAATCAAGAAATACTAGTAGTAGCCTTCACACATTAAGCTTTGCTTGTACATCTTTTAATTGGTGTTGTACTTGCAAATCGCACCGTCTTTAGCGGAGGAGAAGCGTTGGAAAATTGATATCCCGCGTGACCGATGTAAAATGAAGTGTAAATACAAAGTTTTCGGGCTAATTTGTATGGTAGTAAAGATGGAAGTATATACATGTACTATTTACGACGCGATCCGTTTACATGCAAATAAATCAGATGAAGTATTTTCTCGCGCATGTACAATCTGCGTAGTAGAACTGGTCACTGCCCTACACAGAAATGTAATAGACGTTCAGAGACAATAACACTTTAGTTCACGGTACAAAGTATTTTATTTTATAAGATAACATATCCTATAACAAAAAGTAAAAGAACTTTATAGCGTTGTAGTTACGCCAGGGTATAGAGCAATGATGAGGTGGTATATTTTCTTTATTCTCCCCTTGACTTGCCTCCAACTTGCACTAAGATCACTAAGACAATCGTTTTGAAAATGTCGAAATTGTTTCATTAGCAAGGAAAGATGTCTACTTTTTTTGAAATATATAAAAGGGAAAGACTAAGAAAGTATAAGAGATACATATGCATTCTAGCACCGCGAATAATATACAATTCATCAAAAATATTAAGAAGAAACACTTGCCACTTAGTTAATACCATTCTGTAAAAGGTCTAACCATGTAATAATGTTTATAAATAAATATTTTTTATTTATTTTAGATTCTCTTTTCTATTTGACTGTGATGCTTTAAAATAATATATCCCAGTGATTAAATCGCTCAATAACATCTGTTTGGAGTTCGGATGCGAGGAATTATATCACGAGGGCGTAGCCAGAGTGATATAATGATGCGCATCCCAACGACAAACAGTGATGTAATCAAGAGATAAAATCACCGATTTGAATATATTTTTTTTCGATTCTATCACGACATCAACAAATAAAACCTAATATTAACCTAAATTGCGCCTGATTTATTACCGTACTGATTTTCAGCGCGTCACATTTTAGTGGTTACGTCACGTGTAAAATGATTACGTCACATGTCTAAATAGAGATCGTCAAACTGTGATTTTATTGCATAATTACACACACTTTCGGTTTTTCTATGTTCAATTGGGAAAAATGCGGGTCGTGTTAGAATTACAGATAATTTGCATCACAAAACCTTGAGCAGTTAAATCAATTTAATGGTATCGAAATAACACTTTTTTCTACTTTACTGCTCTAGTTTATCTTAAATATTTTCAAATTCTAGATAAATGCTTGTTATATTTTTGTGATTTCTAATATATAATTGCAAAAGCTTATAAGATACATGTTCCTGAAGTTGGCAGCCTAAAAGCCTAAAGAAAACTAAGGATAGTACAAACTTGAAAACCGTCGGAAATGAATTGGTAGCACTTACTTAGACCATTCCATGTGTAATTTTAATATCATGATATTTTTTTATAGACATTTTTTTATAGAACTTTTTCTTTCATTCTGACGCTTCGACGCAATTTGTAAAAGTTAGCAGCCCATCAGCCTAGCAACCTATAGAAAACTAAGGATAGTACAAAAATGAAAACCGTAGGGAAAGAATCGGTAGCAGTTACTAAGACCATTTCACGACTTTCTTTCAATATCGTGATCTTTATTTTTTAAATCTCTGTCGGTATAAATACTGCAGCACCGATTGGACGAAGCCTGCAACAATGAAGACTCGCACCGTGTCTTCCCGCGTCCACATCCGCGTATAAAAGTTTCCTTTTTTGCACCTAAAGTCTCATTCATATGAAATGCTACAAACATGTGTTCAAATAACAGGAGGTAGTTGTAAAATAATAATATAGTTAAAAATAAAGATCACGATATTGAAAACAGACGTGGAATGGTCTAAGTAAGTGCTACTGATTCATTTCCTACGGTTTTCATGTTTGTACTATCCTTCGTTTTCTTTAGGCTGTTAGGATGTCAGGCTGCTAGGCTGCTAACTTTTTTCTAAATTTCTAAGCGTCAGAATGTAAAAAAAAACTCTTAAAAATAAAAGATCATGACATTAAATAAGACGATGAATGGTCTAAGTAAGTGCTACCGATTCATTTCCGACGGTTTGTATTATCCTTAGTTATCTTAAGGCTGCTAGGCTGCCAGGCAGTTAGGCTGCTAACTTCATAAATTTCGAAGCTTCAGAATAAGAAAAAATAAAGTTCAATATCTTAAAAAATAAAGATCACGATATTGAAAGTTGCGTGGAATGATCTAAGGAATTGCTACTGATGCATTTCCGGCCGTTTTCATGTTTGTACTATTCTTAGGTTTCTTTAGGCTGCTAGGCTGTCAACTTCAGACCTTAGGATGTCAGGCTGTTTGCCAACGAACATTCACGAACATATAAGATACGCAGATTGCAGAAGGATGTTAGCCCAATGATGTTTTCTTTCTTGGCCCAATTAAGATTGTCAACGTTGGCCCAATGCCAGTTTGCTTATTGGGGCAACGTTGACCCAGCCGTTGTAACATCGTTGGCCAAAAGACTGATTGATAAATCCTTATCACACAGTTTTAATCATACTCGTTGGCCCATTGTTGGGCAACAACACACATCATTGGCCCTCTGTTTTGCCAAAGAGTCAATTTTAATCATCATCGGTGGCCCTTTGTTTGGTCAACTATACAACTTAAATCATCAACACTTATGTTATTTGATTTAAAGCCTAACCTTCAACTAACTTGAACTAATTGACTTAATTCAAAAGCTTATAATACATGTAGTGCTAGAAAAGTCATTTAGCATGTTTGGGTGGAAAGGGTTCCTCCAAAATCATCATCGGAATGGAATAAGATCATATTGATCAATTTATCAACAAATTTATAATGAATGAGATGACTGAATTTCTTTGAACATTATTTGAGGTCAAGAAACAATTTGAAACATGGTAGAATGTCCAGAAGAAATATATATATATATATTGCCGTTCTGATTGAAATATTCGTTACATGGGCTCCTTTCTTGTGGGTGGTAACCCTCAGGTCTGATATGTTGATCCAAATAGCAAACGCAAGACATGACCTTAATATTTGATTTCAAAACTAGGTTTATACACACATAATGAAATGATGTAAAATAACAAAAATATTCAGAAAATCTTTCCTATTAATTAAAATACAGCAGTTTGATTGCTAACGGCCGAAATCCATTTTTCAACTTTAAAGGTAGAGTGGATATTATTAAGGGATTGATAGACCATCCAGAATTGCATGGCATTAATATAGTCTTAAATATATTTTAAATGCAGGGTATAATTTAAAAAGAGCCACCTCCGATCGGAGACAACTCGCGCTCGCCTTTTTAGTTTATAAAAGTAAACATATTTACTGTTTTAACACATTTCTGAAAAGCGGACATTAATGAAAATAATAGTTTTCTCTCTTTTTTAATTTTAATAGGTGGGTCTATTCACAATTGTTATTTTGTCCAAGTATGAATCATTTCCATATATAAATGACAAATTTGAGATTATAAACACAGTAGTCAATTGTTTAACCTTGACATTTAAGGTTATTTAAGGTCAATTTCATATCTAAATTATTCAGCATGTCTCCCCGGTAACAATCTTCGGTTTCTCTGTGTATGATTAACAAAAGAAATGTGACAACCTTACCAAAATTTAATTATTTGATATTGACAAACAATTCTATTAAGCGTGCATGGTCAAGGATAATCCAACATTTCAGAATTACTTGTCCACAGGGTTGATTTTTCCAAGTAATAAGTATAAACTAATTACAAAGTTACAGACAAAATATAGCAACTTTCAGTCAAAATTCAATAACCTTCAAGGTTAATGTCGTACATGAGTCAAGGTCAATTTGAGTTTAAATAAGAGCAAAAGAATGACAAAAATCGAGAGTGCTTTATCACTTTCAGGCTGACACTTTACATCATCATAAATCATATATCATTGATTTCATTATCTTCAATCAAACCTAGTCTGCAATTTTCATGTAATTTTGTCCGATGGATCACACTTTGTCCAGAAGTATTTTATTCTGAAACAACAAGTGCAAGATGTTATGTCTTCAAAAGATGCAGAGACAGAGAGAGAGAGACAGAGAGAGACAAAGAGAGAGAGAGAGACAGAGAGAGAGGGAGAGAGAGAGAGAGAGAGAGAGAGAGAGAGAGGGGGGGGGAGAGAGAGAGAGAGAGAGAGAGAGAGAGAGACTGAAACTGTTAATCATTCTGCTAAACAACGAATGAAGCGGAAGGAATTGAATTTAACCAAGTGTATAAATCATTTAAGTTGAGTAAGCTGCACAACATGATTACTTTATTTTTCAGTTAACATGGCATCAAACTATGAAGGGTATGCATGGTCAGAAATGGAAGAGGATGAAATACAGATTAGATCGAAAATGGTAAGTTTGAAAATATGAATATATGTAACCATATTTTGACTGAAGTTTGAAAGTGTGCGAAGAAAGAATTAAATGTCAAACAACATGCAATCATGTTTATGTTAAAACCCTTGTCAGACCAGGGAGGCGTTCTCAAGGCTACCACGAAAATTCAACAAACAGAGCGCCTGAGCGCCGTACGATTGCAAGTATCGCCATAGTATCGCTGAAACATCGAAGTCTCGTAGAACATCGACAAACTGTGTTCACATTGAGCATGCTCAAAACAAAGCCGTCACAAAGCGTTTGGATGAAATTGCAGTATTGCCCAAATAATCGGCGAATTGATACTCGAACAGTGAAGTAGGTGCTCCGCGGAAGCGCACAAGGGCCGCAGTGCTAACGCTTATGTTGGCAAGGAGGTTATGGCGTTCACCGAGGCGCTAAGCGTTTCTACCGTGCATATTCAGTGCGTCCCCGGAGATTTTACAGAGTTTAAATGTACTCATACAGCGCCGGTGAACTGAACTGTGTGCTCTCAAGGCAATTTCGACCACGTTGATAGGTACACGACCATGATGGATAAATGTATGCAACATAACTTTAATTTGACCGTGGATGATGAACTATCAAGCTTGTATAATTATAAAACGTCAATGAATCTAATCAGAATGTACTAGTGTCTGAAATAATGCACGGCGGGGCTCCTAAATTTTCAATCCACTGGAAAAGCTGTAAAGTCGCTATGTAACCTTTTTAGTTTTCTTCCCCCCCCCCCCCGCCACAAATAAATCAATGATAATGTTATGTCACAAAAATTGTTTGAATTATAATTACGTTTTCACGGGAAGATGTTGTTATTGCCTTCACCGTCCGTCTTTCCATCCGCCCGTATTTAGCCTGTATTTAGTTTGTCCGGCTTTGACATGGCATTATATCGACAAAACAGACTTAATTAATTCCAAATTCAGTTGTGCACATCGCCGGCACGTTCAGCTTTGCTGCCCGAAAAGGCCCTCAGAGCTTAAAATAGAATACCTTGCCCGGCTTTCACAGCAAACTGCTGACGGGATTTTTGCCGAAACTTCGCATGAGTGATTAGTAACAGTCATGTATTAGCATTCGGCTGCTGCGATTTAAAATAGTGCCGAGATTATCACACGTACGGTCTAATAAAATAGAGAAAGTAAGAATCCCTAAAGAAAGCCGGCTCGGTTTGATTGAGCCTGTTCATGGACGGTACTGTCAAGTGCAAACTACCGTCCACGCCCCCTAGCACCGGCTTAAGCAGAATTCAACATTTAAAAATGAAATGGTAAAATTTGGAATTTAACTTGAAATATATACCATTTTTTTCAAAAATAAATTCTGCTTCTATTGCTATAATGTTTGTGCGAATGCTATGTATGTTTTTCAAAACACGGAAATGTAATGAAAAAAAATCTGGAAACAAAGTATTGCAGACTCGGTTTGATTGAGTCTGTACATGAGGGATAATGAATAAGTGCAACATCTCTCACGCCTCCTAGCACCGGCTTGAGCGGTACTCAATTCTCAACACTTAATAGTGCTGCAATCAATTATCTCGAAGGACCAGAAAAATATAACAACACTGAAGTGAAGTACGGAGCAACTTTTACAGCTGCCACACAGCACTTGACACAGGTCTGCTGTTTTGAAGTATAAAAATCTGGAAACAAAGTGATATCTCGAAAGCACTGATCACAACAAAATTACAGAAGAATTACAGACTATGTTTGATTGAGCCTGTACATGAGGGATAATGAATAAGTGCAACATCCCTCACGCCCCTAGCACCGGCTTTAGCGGTACTTAATTCTCAACACTTAATCGTGCTGGCATCAATGATCCCAAAGGACCAGAAAAATATAACAACACTGAAGTGAAGTACGGGGCAACATTTACAGCTTTCACACAGCACTTGACACCTTATATCTTATAGGATTTTTTTTAAATATGACAGCAGGCGTCAATTCCTTGTAAATACATATAATATCTATATTATATTTATATTTTTATACGCCCGTTTGAAAAACGGGACGTATTATGAGAACGCCCCTGGCGGGCGGGCGGGCGGCGTCCAATTTTGTCCGGAGCATATCTCCTACATGTATGGAGGGATTTTAATCAAACTTCATAGAAATGTTCACCACTATGAGGAGCAGTGTCGCGCACATGAACCAGGTCAAAGGTCAAGGTCACACTTAGAGCTCATTGAAAAATGCTTGTCCGGAGCAAAACTTCCACATGTATAGAGGGATTTCAATATTACTTGGCGCAAATGTTCACCATTGTGAGGCGGAGTGTCGCGCGCAAGATTCAGGTCCTTGCGGCCAAGGTCAAGGTCACACATAGAGGTCAAAGTTAAGATAAAAATATGAAGATGTGTATATGGACCATTTAGTCATCATTTATTGAGGGATTGTAACACAAATGGTCATTATCAAGACTATGGCTGTGATACATATAATTTAGGTCAATATATACAAGGTCAAGGTCACTAAAGATGATGAAATAGCCAGATTTTGTCCGGAGCATATCTCCTACACGCATGGAGGGATTTTAATGAAATTTCATAGAAATGTTCACCATTATGAGAAGCCATGTCACGCACATGAACTAGGTATCTAGGTCAAAGGTCAAGGTCACACTTAGAGCTCATTGAAAAACGCTTGTCCGGAGCAAAACTTCCACATGCATAGAGGGATTTCAATATAACTTGGCACAAATGTTCACCATTGTGAGATGGAGTGTCGCGCACAAAATTCAGGTCCCTGCAGCCAAGGTCAAGGTCACACATAGAGGTCAAAGTTTAGATAAAAATATGAAGATGTGTATAGGGACGATTTAATCATCATTTATTGAGGGTTTGTAATACAAATGGTCATTATCATGACTACGGCTGTGACACATGTACTTTAGGTCAATATATGCAAGGTCAAGGTCACTAAAGATGGTGAAATATCCAGATTTTGTCTGGAGCATATCTCCTACATGTATGGAAGAATTTTTATAATACTTTATGGAAATGTTCACCACCATGATATGTATTGCTCCATGCATAATCCAGGTCAAAGGTCAAGGTCACACTTAGAGCTCATTGAAAAACGCTTGTCCGGAGCAAAACTTCTACATTCATAGGGTGATTTCAATATAACTTGGCACAAATGTTCACCATTGTGAGGCTGAGTGTCGCACGCAAAATTCAGATCTCTGCGACCAAAGTCAAGGTTACACATAGAGGTCAAAGTTCAGATAACAATTTGAAGATGTGTATAGGGACCATTTAGTCATCATTTATTGATGGATTGTAGCACAAATGGTAACTATCATGACTACAGGTGTGACACATTTAATTTAGGTTAATATTTGCAAGGTCAAGGTCACTGGAGATGATTAAATATCAAGATGTTGTCCGGAGCATATTTTCTACATGCATGGAGGAATTTTAATGTTACTTTATAGAATTGTTCACCACCATGAGACGTAGTGCCCTGCACATGAACCAAGTCTCTAGGTCAAAGGTGAAGGTCACAGTTAGAGCTCATAAAAAACGCTTGTCTGGAGCAAAACTTCTACATGCATAGAGGGATTTCAATATAATTTGGCACAAATGTTCATCATTGTGAGGCTGAGTGCCGTGCATAAAATTCAGGTCCCTGCGACCAAGGTCAAGGTCACACATCCTGTGCATATCTTCCCTATTGATTTGTTTTAAGGTTCGTTTAACAACACAGTGCCAAGAATAAAAACTTGCTTGCTAGATAACACTTGTCCATAATGCCCCCATCTCCATCTAAAGCTTTCGTAAACGGGCGTATTTTGTGACTATGGCACCCTTGTTATATTTTATATTTTTCTGATGAATATTTGTAAAAAAAACAGCAAAGGCAATTATAACCCAGAAGTTAAAGTTATTTGATTTATTACATTTTAACTAAGACCTGAAGATAAGGTTGGTCATGTTGGTATACGCGGTATCTCATCCCCTAATATTTACATACATTTATATTCACAAGTGCTTGAAGGTAAGGTTAGAAGACGATTGATAGTTATCAATATATAAATACAAATACAAGACATTTATATAGCGCAAAAATGTTTTAAATATTCGATTGCGCTGTACAGTATTAAGACTTTATACACATATGCTTGATCAAGACACTCCCAAACCCAGTCTCGATGGCACAGCCAATCTACAACTCTAGTTGAAAAACAGTCCAAACAAGTATGTTTTTAAGTTTGGCCATGAACTGATTTTCATTGGTAATGTCCTTCAGATAGTCTGGCAATGAATTCCACCATTTAGGTCCCACAATAGCCAAATATCTATCAGCAAGTTTTGAATTTGTTGATGGTATATCAAACTGAGTGTGGCTAGATGATGAGGATCTCTGTCTTTTCCTGTACTGACTCTGGCATTTAGTGAACAATTCACGAAGATACAATGGAGCGGTGCCATTTGTAACACGAAACACAGCCACAATTTGTACATGATTCTTGCTCGAATTGGAAGCCAGTGGAGTGATTTAAGGATTTTCAGCTCTGGATTGATAGTTAGTAGCTCCAGTGACAATTCTAGCAGCATGATTCTGCTCAAGTTGTAATTTATCAAGTTGGTAGGCTGGAATATCCGCGAATAATCCATTGAAAAAGTCTAAATGTGAATAAATCAAACCGTGAACAAGGATTTCTGCAGATTTCTGAGTGAGATGTTCTCTGATTGTTTTCAAATTTCTTAACTGCATGTGTGCAATCTGACACTATTTTTGAATATGGATGTCAAAACTTAAAGTGATGGTCATCTGTACTCCAAGGTCTCTCACATTGTCAACACAGTTGACTTCGACCCCACCAACATTGACACTGGTAATGTTCAATTTCTTCAGCTGATGTCTTGTACCATAAAATATGATTTCTGTTTTGCTATTGTTCATTTTTAACTTAAATCTGGTCATCCATGACACAATATCATTAAGACAGTCAGTGAGTTTTTGGCG